GCTCTCCATCCCCTCAAGCATTTATCCTTCAAGTTACAAACTCTTATTTTAAAATGTACAATTAACTTATTATTGACTGTAGTTACCCTATTGTGCTACCCATTTCATTGATTTTTCTCCATTGCTTTTCTGTTTTCTATTTCCTTGATTTCTGCTCTGAGCTTTATGATTTTTTTTCTTTGGATTATGTTACATTTCATTTTCTATTGTACTACTTTCTTAAAGTAGAAGCTAAGGCCATTGATTTGAAACTTCTTTCCTAATAGAGGTGTTTAATGCTATAAAATTCCCCTTAAGTACGACTATTTTAGCACATTTCAAAATTTGGATATGTTATTTTCATTTCATTCAGTTCAAAATACTTTCTATTTTTCCTTTTGATCTCTTCTTTGACCCATGTATAATTTAAAAGTGTCTTATTTAGTTTTCAAATATTTGGGAATTTTTCAGGCTTTTTGTTGCTGATTTTTAGTTTAATTTCATGATGGTTAGAGAACATACTTTGTGTGATGTAAGTTCTTTTAAATTTATTGAGTCTTGTTTTATGGTCCAGTACATGGTCTTTCTTGCTGAATGTTCCCTGTATACTTGGAAAAAAAAATTCTGTTTTTGCGTGAAACGTTCTATAAGTCTTAATTAAATCAAGTTCATTGATTGTGTTGTTCATGGTCTTCTATATCCTTACTGATTTTCTGTCTAATTTTTCTACCAATACTGAGAGAGAGATTGAAACATCTATTTACAATCGGGGAGTTGTCTATTTCTTTTTTCAGTTCTGTTAGTTTTTACTTCATGTATTTTAAAGCTCTGTTATTAGCTATAAAAACATTTAGGATTGTAGTTTTGATGATCATTTTGAAATTATCTTCTTTGCCCCTAGTTATATTCTTTCCTCTGAAATTTACTTCATTTTTTATTAATATGACGAATCCAGCTTATTTTTTGATTCATGTTAGCATGGTATATCATTTTCTATCCCTTTGCTTTTATCCTATTTGTGTCTTTATATTTAAACTGGGTTTCTTGTAGTCAGCTAGGTCTTGACTTTTTTAAAGGTCTCTGGGTGGCTCACGCCTGTAATCCCAGCACTTTGGAAGGCCGAGGCAGGTGGATCATGAGGTCAGAAGATCGAGATCAACCTGGCTAATGGTGAAACCCATCTCTACTAAAAAATACAAATGATTAGCCTGGCGTAGTGACGGACGCCTGTAGTCCCAGCTACTCGGCAGCTGAGGCAGGAGAATGGCGTGAACCCGGGAGGCGGAGCTTGCAGTGAGCTGAGATCGCACCCTGCACTCCAGCCTGGGCAACAGAGAGACTCCGTCTTGATCAATCAATCAATCAATCAATAAATATCTCTGATACTTTCTGCCTTTTACTTGGGGTGTTTAAGCCATTTACAGTTAATGCAATTATTAATATGGTTAGACTTAAGTATATTTTGTTCTATTTGTCCCATATGCTCTTTGTTTCCCCTTTCCTATATTTTGCCTCTTTTGAAGTAATTGAATGTTTTTTATGATTCTATTTTATCTCCTTTGTTGGCTTTTATGCTGTAACTCTTTTAGTAGTTGCTTTAGCGTTTATAGTATACATCTTTAAATTATCACAGTGTATCTTCAAATGATATATCATTTCATATGTAGTATAAGAGCTTTATAACAATATACTACTATTTCTTCCCTCCTAGCCTTTATGTTATTGTGGTTATGCATTTTATTTTAATGTATATTATAAACCCCACACTACATTATTTTTGTTTAAACTGTCAATTATCTTTTAAAGATATTTAAATAAATAATAAGAAAATTTTATGTATTTATTTATGTCATTACCGTTTTCATTGCTTTTTGTTTCTTTGTGTAGATCCATATTTCCATATTTCCATCTGTTACCATTTTCCTTCTTCCTAAGGACTTCCTTTAACATCTCTCTTAGGCTTAGCAGAGTGGCTAACACCTGTAATCCCACTTTGGGAGGCCAAAGTGGGAAGATTGCTTGAGGCCAGGGGTTCAAGACCAGCCTGGGCAACATAATGAGACCCGATCTGTATTAGTTCCTTTTCACACTGCTGATAAAGACATACCTGAAACTGGGAGAAAAAAAAAGAGATTAACTGGACTTACAGTTCCACATGGCTGGGGAGGACTCAGAATTATGGCAGGAGGCAAATGGCACTTCTTAGATGGTGACAGTAAGAGAAAATGAGGAAAAAGCAAGAGCAGAAACACCTGATAAACCCATCAGATCTCGTGAGACTTATTCACTACCATGAGAATAGCACAGTAAAGACCAGTCCCCATGATTCAATTACCTCCTCTTGGGTCCCCCCAACAACACATGGGAATTCTGGGAGATGCAATTCAAGTTGAGATTTAGGTGGGGACACAGACATATCATTCCACCTGGGCCCTCCAAATCTCATGTCCTCACATTTTAAAATCAATCGTGCCTTCCCAACATTCTCCAAAGTCTTAACTCATTTCAGCATTAACCCAAAAGTCCACAGTCCAAAGTCTCATCTGAGACAAGGCAAGTCCCTTCTGCCTATAAGCCTGTAAAATCAAAAGCAAGCTAGTTACTTCCTAGATACAATGGGAGTACAGGTAGTGGGTAAATACAACCATTCCAAATGGGAGACATTGGCCAAAACAAAGGGGTTACAGGGCCCATGCAAGTCTGAAATCCAGTGGGGCAGTCAAATTTTAAAGCTCCAAAATGATCTCCATTGACTCCAGGTCTCACATCCTCACATCCAGGTCACGCTGATGCAATAGGTGGGTTTCCATGGTCTTGGGCAGCTCTGCCTCTGTGACTGTGCAGGGTACAGCCTCCCTCCTGGGTGCTTTCATGGGCTGGCATTGAGTGTCTGTGGCTCTTCCAGACACACAGTGCAAGCTGTCAGTGGATCTACAATTCTGGGGTCTGGAGGACAGTGGCCCTCTTCTCACAGCTCCACTAGGCAGTGGCCCAGTAGGGACTCGTTGTGAGGGCTCCGACCCCACATTTCCCTTCCATACTCCCCTAGCAGAGGTTCTCCATCAGGGCTCCACCCCTGCAGCAAACTTTTATCTGGGCATCCAGGCGTTTCCATATATCTTCTGAAATGTAGGTGGAGGTTCCCAAATCTCAATTCTTGACTTCTTTGCACCCACAGGCTCAACACCACATGGAAGCTGCCAAAGCTTGGGGCTTCCACTCTCTGAAGCCACAGCCTGAGCTCTACATTGGTCCCTTTCAGCCACAGCTGGAGTGGCTGGAACACAGGTCACCAAGTCCCTAGGCTGCACACAGCATGGGGACCCTGCGCCTGGCCCAGGAAGCCACTTCTTCCTCCTGGGCCTTCAGGCCTGTGATGGGAGGGGCTGCCATGAAATTCTCCATGTCAGAGAATGTTAATCCCCATGGTCTTGGGGATTAACATTAGACTCCTTGCTACTTATGCAAATTTCTGCAGCTGGCTTGAATTTCTACCCAGAAAATGGGTTTTTCTTTTCTATTGCATAGTCAGGCTGCACATTTTCCAAACTTTTGTCCTCTGCTTCCCTTATAAAACTGAATGCCTTTAACAAAACCCACGTCACATCTCGAATGCTTTGCTGCTTAGAAATTTCTTCTGCCAGATACCCTAAATCATCTCTCTCAAGTTCAAAGTTCCACAGATCTCTAGGGCAGGGGTAAAATGCCACCAGTCACTTTGCTAAAACATAACAAGAGTCACCTTTGCTCCAGTTCCCAACAAATTCCTCCTCTCCATCTGTGACCACCTCAGCCTGAATTTTATTGTCCATATCGCTATCAGCATTTTGCACAAAGCCATTCAACAAGTCTCTAGGAAGTTCCAAACTTTCCTACATTTTCCTGTCTTCTTCTGAGCCCTTCAAACTGTTCCAATCTCTGCCTGTTGCCCAGTTCCAAAGTTGCTTCCACATTTTCAGGTATCTTTTCAGCAGAGCCCCACTCTGCTGGTACCAATTTACTGTATTAGTCTGTTTTCACACTGCTGATAAAGACATAACTGAAACTGAGATCAAAAAGAGGTTTAATTGGACTTACAGTTCCACATGGCTGGGGAGGACTCAGTATCATGGCAGGAGGCAAAAGGCACTTCTTACATGGGGACAGCAAGAGAAAATGAGGAAAAAGCAAAAGCAGAAACCCCTGATAAACCCATCAGATCTCGTGAGACTCACTCACTATCATGAGAATAGCATGGAAAAACCAGCCCCCATGATTCAATTACCTCCCCCGGGTCCCTCCCACAACACTTGGGAATTCTGGGAGATACAATTCAAGTTGAGATTTGGGTGGGGACACAGCTAAACCCTATCACCATCTCTACTAAAAAATAAAAAATTGGCCAGGCATGGTGGCATGCATCTGTAGTCTAGCTGCTCAGGAGGCTTAGGTGGAAGGATTGTTTGAGACCAGGAGTTAGAGGCTATAGTGAGCTATGATCATGCCATTGCACTCCAGCCTGGGTGACAAAGTGAGACCCTGACTCAAAAAAAATTAAAAAATCTCTTTTAGTGCAGGTATACTGGAGATGAATTATTTCAGTTTTTGTCTATCTAAAAAAAGTGTTATATTTTGCCTTTGTTTTTGAAATGTATTTTTGCTGGGTATAGAATCCTGGGCTGACTTTTTTCCCACTATCTGCAAAGGATGTTGCTCCCCTGCCTTCTCACGTGCCCTGTTCTTAATGGGAAGTCTGCTGTCAGCCTTGTCTTTGTGCCTCCGTGTTTTTTTCTCAGGCTGCTTTTTAAGATTTTATTTTGGTCACTATTTTTGAGCAGTTTGGTTATGATGTGCATTGTAGTTTTTTTTGTGCTTGGGGTTCATTGCTGAAGCTTCTTGTGTCAGTGGGTTTATAGTTTTCATCAAGTTTGGAAAATTTTCAGCCTCCTTTGGGGAGTCCACTAACCCATGGCTGCACTGAGGACTAGAAACTCTCAAAGCACTAAGCCAGGGTAAGCACAGGACTCATTTTGTTTCTCATCTCTCAGGGATCATCCTTGGTTGCCTTGTTTCATGCATTTTCTCACATTTTTGTTCCAGTGAGAAGATAAATATGGACTCCATCTTGTTACTCCATCTTGGCCAGAAGCAGATGTCACTTATGTTTATATTTTAAGACACAGTTTGACCAGCCTGGTTATGTTATTTTTTTTTTTAATTAAAAATAACTTGTGTTAAGCACACATTGAATAGCAGTGTAAAACTGAATATCCAGCAGCCAGTTTGAATTTAGAACTTGGCCATAGATGTGGAGAATTGGAAGATGACATAGAGCTGATTATAATTGATCATGATCTGCGTAGAGCAGTGGTTCTCAACCTTGACCCTACATTTGAATCACCTGAGAGAGTTAAAGAGCACTGATGATTCAGACCCACCCCAGCAGTTCTGGTCTAGTTTGTCTGAAGCCTGGCCTGGACATCAGGATAATTGGAAGCCCCCAGGTGATTTTGATGTCCAGCGGAGGTACAGAGTCACAGGTGAAGTGGACAGCTCCTGATCCTCCTCCACGTGTTCACAGCCATCTCTAATCCTCTTCCTGTCGTTCTTCTCTCCACGTCCTCCTTTCCCCCAGCAAAGTCCAGGTTCTCTATGGGGGGACAGACCTGTTTGACTATGAAGTGCGCAGGACGTTCAACAATGACATGCTCCTGGCCTTCATCAGCAGCAGCTGCATTGCTGCCCTGGTCTACGTCCTCACCTCCTGCTCAGGTAGGGCTTCTCTCAAGCCAGCCCCCTTCTCCCCTCCCAGGGTGCTCCTGTCTGCCCAGAGCCCGCCTTCTCAAGAATGCTGCAATACTCTTGAACCGAGCATGTCAGAGCTGAGGACACAGGGATATGCAAATAAATCATCTTTCAACCCCAAGCACGCAGACTGAGACCTGGAGGCAGGTTGGGCTGTACCAGCCTGGGTCACACCCTCTACCCTGGGCCCCTGCGCAGTTGGACCTTTTGCCTGTTGACCATCTGTCTCCTGTTGATAGCCTTGTGTTGGGGAGCCTGGGGTATTGTATTCCTTTGTGGATTACTTTGTAGCCTATTTTGGGTCCCAAGTCAACGGCCCTCTGCCCCCTGATCACTTTTTCACCTCCGCATGCTGCTAGTTGCTAGGGTGGACACTAGCTGCTGCTTACTCCTGTCTGTATACAGTAAGCATACTCTACTTCCCAAGCAGACAAACAATGGTAATACTTTCCAAAATGGAAAAGATATTCATCCGTGCAACAGATATTTACTGGGCACCAAACTATATGCCAGATGCTGTAAGGTGCCAGGAATCCAGACACAGTTCCTAGCCCCAGGTCATATGTGATGTTCATAAGGCTCTTGAGGTAAAGTCTGCAAAGAGGAGGACAGCCTGACCTATTCAGGGATGGCTCCATCTGCCACTTGGGCCTCCTGTCCAGTGCCCTCTTTGGGCATGGAAAACTGAGAACTGGCCCTGTGCCTGTGCTGGGAACAGAGTCGTGAATGGTACCCAGGGTTGGGGGGGAAGAGACAGGACCCAGCTGAGGTCAGGGACTCTAATGGGGCTTGTGTCCCGTGAGGGTCCCCCCACCTTCTCCCTCATGCCTCTTACCCTGCCCAGTGTTCCTGTCCTTCTTCGGGATTGCCAGCATTGGTCTCAGCTGCCTGGTGGCCCTCTTCCTGTACCACGTGGTCTTTGGTATCCAGTACTTGGGCATCCTGAATGGGGTGGCTGCCTTCGTGATCGTGGGCATTGGTGAGTTGCCTCTGTTGCCATGGCAGTGCGCCTCCCACATGGGAAGTCTGCCTCATCCCCTTTCTCCCTGGATACAAAGCCTGGCTTTCCTGGGGGCTCTACACAGCTCCTGCTGAGACCTAGAGCCTTGGAGTGCAGGCTTAGAATGTGGGTGGTGGGCCAGGCGCAGTGGCTCACGCCTGTAATCCCAGCACTTTGGGAGGCCGAGGTGGGTGGATCACAAGGTCAGGAGATCGAGACCATCCTGGCTAACATGGTAAAATCCCTTCTCTACTCAAAATACAAAAAAAAAAATTAGCCGGGCATGGTGGCAGGCGCCTGTAGTTCCAGCTGCTTGGGAGGCTGAGGCAGGAGAATGGTGTGAACCCAGGAGGCAGAGCTTGCAATGAGCCGAGATCGCGCCACTGCACTCCAGCCTGGGCGACTGAGCAAGACTCTAGCTCAAAAACAAACAAAAAAGAATGTGGGTAGTGGGCAGATCCCTGGCATAGAGTGAGTGGAGAGAGCAGGAAGGTTTGCTGGATGGAAGTGAGGATGGTGGGAAAGGCCCAGGAAGTATGGGAAGGAGGCCAGGATGTGGGAGAAGGTACCTAGCTCTGGGTGAGGTTGGGGCCAAGGAGTGTGGTGGGTGGAGCTTGAACTCTTGGTGGGAGGAGCTAGTCAGAGGGGTCTCTCCACACTCTAAGCTGAGAAGCAGGACTCCTGTAGCCTGACCTCCCAGGAGGCCACTCAGACTTGGTCTAGGGCCAGGTTGGGCCTGATCCTGGAGACAGTAGAATGATCCTGAGCCTGGCCCGGGACTCCCTCCCACAGGTGTGGATGACGTCTTTGTGTTCATCAACACCTACCGCCAGGCCACCCACCTGGAAGACCCACAGCTGCGCATGATCCACACCGTCCAAACTGCAGGCAAGGCCACCTTCTTCACCTCCCTGACCACGGCCGCCGCCTACGCAGCCAACGTCTTCTCCCAGGTGCGGACCTGCCCTCCATTTGTGTCCTGGCCTCCCACCCGCCCGTGCATACCTAAGCCCCTGGTCTCTGCTGCTCCCACACCGCTTGAGTGGCCATATAGCCTTCACCTCAAGGTACTTGCCTCATCTCTGGAGTTCATTTTTGTCACGAATCACCCATTACCCAAACCTAACAAGTGTGAATGTTATAATCCAGACAGCATTTTTTAGGGATCCTCAGTAGTAGTAATCCTGCCTCCACCCTGGAGGACGTTTGCCAGTTCCCAAAGCTCTTTCTCATTTCATCTTCATTCCCATGGTCATTGACAAAGGTACCATTACAATCCTATTTTCCAAAAAAGAAACTTGACCCTTGAGAGGTCAAGTGGCTCCCTCAGGATCACACAGCAGATAAGTGAGAAGCCTGACCAAGTCCACAGCGATTCCCCCTCTGCCTGCTTCTGGCTGCGTTTTCCTCCCGCGCGCTGACTTCCCCTTGCTGCCTCTGAGTGGGGCTTAGGAGAAGACATTGAGCCCAGGCTGGGTTCTTGGTGTGGGAAGACAGTGAATTGACCCAAGTCTTTGAGAGACTTTATGACCTGAGCTGAGTAGCCCCTCTGGAACCCAGTAGATGCTTTAGGATTATCCAGGTCCTTCTAGAGAAATCACTTCTGGAAGGTAGGCAGAGCTGGGTTCAGCTTCTGCTGTGTGACCTTGGGCAGGCTGTGTGGCCTCTCTGAGCCTCACTTTCCTCATGTGTGGATTATCCAGAGACTGAGATGCGAGGATGATGGTGAAAGTGTTTCACAGAGTGCAGGCTGCTCTGTTGGTGGTTACAGCTTCCTTCCAACTAGCACCTCCCTGTGTGGTCCCTGTCGTACTTCTGGAACATACCCATTGCTCCTAGTCCCCACGGTCCCTGCCTCCTTCATGTGGCAGAATTCTCTCCCTCCCCCTCCCCACTAGCACATGGCTTGGTCTAACGGGATGTGTCTTCCTCTGTCCCCCATTCATTTGCGTAATGACAGCTACTGACCACTGCCTCTGTGCCGGGCTCTGTTCCGGGCAGTGGGCTGCAGATAGACAAGAGCCTCCACTCGAGGTATGAATCCTTCCGGTGCTGCTGTGTCCCCTGTCCCCTGATACCAGCCCTTGGTGTCACCACCAGTGAGGCTGGTGGTTGGCATTCTGGCAGCCTGGGCCACCTCCTACTGCCTCAGTCTGGGCCGGATCTGGGATCCTGAGTGTCTCTGGCTGCGGAGGGGCACCCAGGCCCACTGACTCCAGGTCCAGCCAGCCCCACAGCCCTCTCTTCCTTTCCATCACCAGATCCCAGCCGTCCATGACTTTGGCCTGTTCATGTCTCTCATCGTGTCCTGCTGCTGGCTGGCCGTGCTTGTCACCATGCCTGCAGCCCTGGGCCTCTGGAGCCTCTACCTGGCACCGCTGGAGAGCTCCTGCCAGACCAGGTAAGTCGGGCGGGGCCTCTTCCCAAGCAAGGTATCCACAACAGGCCTCTGTGAGCCACTCAGCGCACCACCCTCTCTTCCAAAAGCCTTCTGTGTGCCCAGTCCTGTGCTAGGCAGGGAACAGGGAAGGAGAAGATACTTCCATCCAATAATTGCAATTTGGGGTCACCAGTGTCACCAGGAAGTGAGCAAAGCACTTTAGTCCAAGATCTGATGACATCACCATTCACTTCCCAAAGAACCCTGGGAACAGGGTTCTCTTGCTGTGCCCATTCTACAGATGAGAAAACAATGGCTCAGGGAGGTTCAGTAGCTTTTTCAAGGTCACCCATTTAGTAGGCAGTAGAACCTGGATTTAAACCCAAGAACTCTGCCTCCAGATCCCATGCTCTCAGCCACCATGTTGAGTGTCCTCAGGTTCTCGTCTGTAGATGTAGTGAGCCGTGTGCAGAGTTGAACGGGTCAGTTCAGAGTTGCTGCTGGAGGTTTAGGGGAAAAGGTCTTGTGGGCCTGGTGGTCGGGAAGATGGAGGGGGATGGTGGTGGAGTTGAATCAGGCCTGGGTGGCTGCCTGGGGCTGGGAGGATGGAGGGGCTCTGGGCTCAGATCAGCGCCCACTCATTGTGATAAAGGCCTTGGTCAGTGGTGGTCAGCAATGTCCACTTGCCCATGGTGAGCCCCGGAGGGGCTGGAGGGAGAGGAGGGCCCAGCGAGGAGCTTAGACTTGGGCCTGAGACGGACTCCTCAGCTCTCCCCACTCACATCCTCTCCCTTCAGGACTCTGCTGTGGTGGTGTGGGTTGGCAGGTGCGGGTTGGCACTGCACACGGGCACCCTAGCAGAGGCACTGTTCTCTGTACCATGGGCGCTCAGATTTGACTGTTTTCCATGACAGTTTCATGTCACAGAAGCAGCGTCGTGGGGAAAAGGCACCTTTTTCTGATCTCTACAGAGATACCAAATAAGCCCCCGCTCTGCCGCCGCCCCGCCTGGGGCTGTCTCCCCAGTGGTCCTATTGGGCGCAGTCATCTTCCCCGTCAGTCAGACGTGGGCTTCAAGCCTCACCTCCTCCCTCGGCAGCCGTGGAAGCCTGGGCAGGTGACTTCACCTCTGCATCTCAGTTTCCTTTTCTATGAAACAGCTATGATCCCTGTGTGTGAGTCTCATGAGGATTAAGTGAGATAATCCACACAGGGCTCCCAGCTCACTGCTGGCACGTGGCAGTGGTATTAGCCACACACACAGCGCTCATATCAGCCATGAGGATTATTCTGGTGCCCAGTCCCTAGGGTGAGCCGTGTCTGTCATGTGTTCACTCCGGCTGAGACCTCGGCCACGAAGCTACACCCTCAGCCCTGCCCTGCTCCCTCCTCCTGGCTCCCCTGAGTATTAAGTTGGTGGCAGAGCCCCCGGGCCACACAGCAGCAGAGGAATGAGTCCCCTGATTTGATCACCTTAGTGCCTGGGCCACTGTGTGTTGTCATCCCCTCTTGCTGGGTAATGTCTGCTGTCACCATTTGTCTCTCTGGAGGAAGACTGGCACCTGAGGGTCCTGGGGTAGACGATACTAGAAAGAAACCAGGTGACCAGCTCCCAGAAGTCTGGGGTGCTCATCCTGTGTGTGACGTCAGCAGCACTGTGATACCTGGGTTCATCTGATCCTCAGGGCCCTGCCCCCCTCTCCCTGGGTACCCAGGACCCTCTGGCTCACCACTGTCCCCTACTCTCTCCACAGCTGCCACCAGAATTGTGGCCGCAAGAGCTCCCTGCACTTCCCCGGAGACGTGTTTGCCACTCCCGAGCAGGTTGGAGGCAGCCCCGCCCAGGGTCCCATACCCTACCTGGACGATGACATCCCCTTGCTGGAGGTCGAGGAAGAGCCAGGTGAGAGCTGGCACAGGCCTGCCCTGCTGACCCCAGCGAGACCCAGCGCTGCCTCTGCCCGGGGAGTAACGCTTGATAAGTTGGTCCTGAGACTGGGGACTGGACAAGGTGGCCTGCAGGGCTTCCTCACCAGGCATCTGGGCTTCCCTGGAAGCGAGCACGGACCACAGTGGGCTTTGACTCAGGCTTTGACGGGCCACTGCTCTGCCCTGGCAGTGTCACTGGAGCTGGGAGACGTGTCCCTGGTGTCTGTGTCCCCTGAGGGTCTGCAGCCAGCCTCCAACACGGGCAGCCGCGGCCAGCTCATTGTGCAGCTGCAGGAGCTGCTGCACCACTGGGTCCTGTGGTCAGCCGTCAAGAGCCGCTGGGTGATTGTGGGTAAGTGGGCCCTCTGCCCCTCCCCCTGTCTCACAGCTCCACCCCGAAAACACACAGGAACTGGGAGCCCACCCCCTCTTGCAGATGCCCCAGGGCAGAGGCCTGGGCTGGGGTCTCTCCCTCTCCAACCCGCCCCGCTCCTTCCTGTGCAGAATGAAGCTGGTCACGGGCGGCTGTTGGTCATTGGCCCCTGCTGTGTGCCAGCCACTCACACTGGGCAGTAGCACAGAACGTGCCACGCATGGGCCC